CCTATTAAATAAATGTTAAGTTACCTACCAATCAGGGCCCGGCTGAGATGGCTTAGTGATAGCAGCTGTTGGCGCTGCAACACCTCTGACCGGAAGGTCTCAGGGCTCGCGTCCCGACGATGGCAGAATTTCGACTTAGAGCCAGATCGAATTCGGTCGCTGTCTGGATACGAATTCTCGTAGACGGCGGCTCTCATCTGTAGTTGTCCATGGTTCAAATCAACACAAAGTGAACGCTTGATCAGTTCTCTAACAAACGAGGCACGGGCGGCGCGCGATCTTCCCATCTTCATCCCCGCCCCTCCTCTCTCCCTTCACGTATCACACACACAGGCTTACTACACTACAACACGCATCGGAAGGTCAGTCGGGAGCATAGGTCTCATAGCTGAGGTGCTGCTCCGCTAGGGGAGATACCTGAAGGTAGAAAACTCGCAAGCCTGAAGGTCGGCGCCGGATATCATGTTCCAGCGGAGGACAACACCGCCACCTCCCGGCTACATCATGAACTACACCTACAAGACTAATGACCGAAATTAATTGATTCACTAGGAAACACGAAATATTCACTCACTAACCGTTCAGGGACACGATGTACAATATAGAAAAGTGGAACGTCATTATATATTTCCCATTACATGATCACTGGCAAAAAGTAATCATCTTGAATCTTCTATGCGCCCTAGAAGTTTGAAGCAAATATTCTGAGACACATGCGTATTATCATATTCTGACGAATATGTGACGAAATAATTACGGTCTACAACTATTTCATTCCTTGAAGGTGTACAAAAAATTGTCTTTGTCAAGCAAGAAAATTACCGCAAGACAAATAATGATTATGATTAGCTTCAAAGCATCATCATTAAACAAGTGACATTGCACGCTTTTGTTACAACTTTGTTAGGTACTAACATCGCGCGGGTAACACGGAGAACATTGGTTTGGAGAAAAAGAAAGCGCTTTAGATCAGAGTAATGTTCTGAGCCAGCAATCACTGACCTTATCCTCGTCCAGAAGGCAATGTTTGCTACGTGATGAAGCTACAACCGCTGATTAACCTGTAGGGCACTGCGTAAAATGACCCTCATTTTGCGTATCGCTCTTATAACAATGAAATATTTTATCAACATAGAGATATGTAAATTGATTAAAACAAACTTTTTTCAATAAATTGACACTAGACACTTTTTAATATACTCATAAAAATATGTACAATATTTATGAAAGAGCAATGATGAAATCAATTTTTTTCGCGCAATTCAGGCTTTAGATTCGGATTGAGCACGTCGAAATACATAGAGAAACATGTGTCAAGGCTTTTGGTCTGACAATGTTTTTTTCCTGAGTTATTATTATATGAATAGCAGCGTCGTAACTAGACAGTTTTCATCTATCTCATGCACCTTGTTAACTTCAATAGATCAATACTTACACTAAACAAGACTTGAACTAAAATAAATACCATAGGGTACCAGTATTGAAATAACTTCTTTTAGTGCCCATTTTCTTCCCCCCTCCTCCTCTCCCTCCCGCACAATTTTACCTGCCATGGGCCTCTAGCGCACTCTTTTCAGAGATCGGGGCTACGAAAAAAGTATTATGCGCCACACGTCAACGGGTTTACTACGGCAAAATCTGAAAAGATCAAAATCCTTTTCAAATTTTCTATATCTCCGAATACACTAAGTGAGTTTTACTCAGAAATGAAATACATCATCTAACTACTATTTCAATTATTTATGTAACCATTTAGTGCTTTTTAAGCAAGCTTTTGGTCATGAATATGGATTTCGATTCTAGTACAATGTAATTATGAAAACAGTATAAACCATAACTTCTTTCGTTTATATATAATCTTCAATTGAAAGAACCTTTGTCAGAAGATGACCAAACTCGCAACTGAAGCGAAGCTTATATTTAGAAATAATAAACACAAAAAATATACTTCAATATTAACACAACGGAATCCCATATTCAATAGATTAATGCGATACAATGACCCTCAAGACGATCTGAAAACAAAAACAAAACAATAACACTTTTGAAAGTCAAGAGTAAAGAAAGGCTTTAGAAGAATGAATAGCCAGATCGGAGTAAGAATAGTTCAGGAAAATCCAATAGTTACCAGGAACTTGAGGTGCGATTTCAAAACTCCACTGCTGCAAACGACAGTCAAAACGAACTAATTTTAAATTCCACTTTCGTTATGTCATGGAATGTTTAACACTCCGCCATTAATGACGGCACGCAAATATCCTGATCTTTTTTTATGTTCTTTGGCGTGCAATGACAAAACAGTAAATATTAATAACATACTGAAAATTTGAATGTATCTTTTGATCCAGATTCTTTTGGGTGAAGTCAGAGGAAAAGTCAAGAAATTGGTATTTTCTAATATCCAGAGCAGACCATTCTAAATGAATTTAAGGGAAAAATCAAACATCTGGGTGACGATTTGAACGCGTGGGCATTCCGAACGCTCGCTCCGCCATATGGATTCTTTCTGTAGCGCACTGCACCAACACATTCTTTCCTTTGTATCTTGGAAATATACAAAGTGGGAAGTGTTTAGAACAGCGATGCGATCAAATTTTAGATACTTGGAAACTATTTTCTCAATAAGTAGTTGGAGTGCTGTTGCACATACTTGTTAGGGGGCCGAATGTAGCAACGTAATTGACGCTAGAGGGAAGAAAATTCACATCGCTTGATTTACGTAAGTCCTAAACAACACTTTATTTATATATTTAGTATCTTTTTTTAAAGCAATGTTCATAAATAAAAAGTGCATATGTTTGACCTGACGCTGCTACTTTTTTATATTTCTTAATTTGTTATTTCTATCATTGTCGTCATTGCTACCGTTTCTATTCAGCAAATAAGTGCAGAGTCAACCTGAATCATTGTCGCGAGCAAACCTCTAACAAGTATTCTGAAATTTGATGTTTTTGTTTATTTCTTGCTTTGTTTATTTTGAACTTGCGCAGTCAATCAGCTAAAAAAGTTGTTTCCGAAATGTATAAATATTTGCAAAGCAAACACTTATCTACTGAATCAAATGTAAATACCGTAATCATTCAACATTTGTATGCTACTTTGATATCAAATTTCTATATCAGGTACTTGAAGAATGTTTTCATTAAAAACGTGAGATAAAACGCAAAAAAATCATCTCTTAAAAGTAAAGTCTAAGTTTGTTTTCTTATATACTTATTACGAAATTTTTCAGATAAATTTGAAATGCATACATTTAAGTTTGTAGACAATATTAAATTTGTTTTCTTATAAAGCTTATGATGAAAATTCGCAGATAAATTTAAAAAGCATACGTTTCAACAGATCGTGCAAAAGTTATTTGCAGTATGCTTTAAATAAATGTTTTAATCAGTTAGCAATATAATTTGTTAATAAAGTTTTCACACGATTGGGGCGAACCATACTACACACTGAAAAATATTATTTTTACATAAAATAAAGCTTTTCGTTGTTATGATATCTTTTATCTCATTTGAAAGAAAAAGTAAACCAAGTTGTTGCTGTTAATCAATAAATGATTTCTTACGGATTACACTCGACTCTGAACCCCGAAAGCTGCTCGTACTCAGGGAATAGCAGCGGTCAGAAAAAGTTCCGCAGGCCCCGCGGAGTAGAAAAATCCCCGGGCCCCTTCGGGGTTTCAACCCCAAGCTGTCCGTTAATTACATGGCAATTGAACTTCCGGACAGTTCCTATTGGATAATTTCAACTTCAAATCACAAACAGATAAGAGGCGAGTGCAATATGTTTCGTTGATTTAACGCATATTTAAGAAACACGCCTTATATGAATATAATGTCATATATGTTACAACGAAGTAAAGCAAATTCTCCTCAGATGCCGATGTTACTCACCGATTTAGAGAAGAAATAAAATCGCGAAGGCGGCGCCCGGGTCGGCAGCCGGTTTCCAGCGGCCACGAAGCGTGGGAGTCGACTGCCACGGCCAGGTCCCCTCCGCCGGCTGCTCCCGGCGCGCAGGCGTCGCTCGTTCCCCTTGGCGACGGCGGCCACAGCTGGGCGCGATCGATTCCTTTCCTCGCTGGAATCACAGGGCAAAGCATCGGCTCATTCAAGAATTGTGCACCTTCACTTTTGGCACATGTGTATAGAACAGACCTTACTTAACTATCGGAAGTAACTATCTACATACATCAAATCATCAATCCAAAAACATCAGAATACAAAAATTAGTCCAAAAGATTTTTAATTAAATGTTAATTAAAAATTATTGAATTGTGCGAAGGCACTGTGGTATAGTAACCAACCATGTTATGATTGCAGTGGTTGGGACCAGCCATCACTTCACAAGTAGTTAATTTATTTATATAGATAGTTACCTCCAGTATTTAAGGAACGTCTGTTCTAAATATATGGGCCAAATAGGAATGTGTACTCAATAATTTAAGAATTGTTCATTTTTGTTCCATCAAAAGCAAATACGCTCCTGCACTCAAAGAAAATATGAAAAAGTATACTAATGAAAGGGAGCTATGTTTCTAATAATTGTACCGAATAGTTTAATAGTTTTCCCTTATTCCTTTCTATATTCATGAATTTGTGTACATCTGTTGAGTACACACTCGGCATTGGTTATTGAAGAAATGTGAGCCATCACACCCACTACTATATTTTATTTTACAAATTAATTAAAATTACACACATTCACGCGCGCTTTTAGAAGTTATTTCTTAATTCAAAATCGTAGTTCCAATGAAAATATTACCTCATACTGTAGCACAGAGCTGGGGGTGTTAGTTAAGGTTTACGATTTCATCACTAAAATTCAGTTAAATTGGAAAATTAAGATTGCGTTTAAAAATGTTTTCAGGTATATAAATTGGAAACAGGCGTAACTAATATTTGCACTTTACTCCATTTTAACTACATCAAATTCCATTCAAATTTCCCTCTCGATGCTGTGCAAAGTCCTTACCATGTGCTGCTACCTGCGGAGTAAAAAAATAAACTACATAAACATTCTTTGGAAGTCAGGCTAAGATTTGATTTCGTTGCTGTAATTTTGTTTTTACATGCGCTGTGAATACGTGCGGCGTTAATGATTGAAGACGTTTTCGTGATATTTGGTTTAAATACGTGTATGTTTAATAATAAATAAATACATGGTTCAAATAATTTGCATGACAGGCATGTAATTTTTGACGCTCACGATAAAATTCGATAATGTCAGTGGTTTTATTATTTTTCCTCTGTGTTTCTTAGATTCTGTGTTTGAGCATGAGTTTCCATAGAGGAGGTGATGGGCGGCCTAGAGGTTTCGGTTTTTCAGGATTTCAGCTGAAACGAGACCGCGAGAACCAGTTGCCTCCACCACCTTCAAGTGCTATTAGTAAACATGGATACTCCACTATGTCTGCTATTAGCCAAAATGCTCTGGCCGCAAGCTACGGACTACCGAGGAAAAGATCAAAAACTGAAGAAGAGTAAGTTTATAATTAATTCATATCTTTGCATTGATGTTAGGTCCGTTTATGATTTTCCAAGTATTTATTCCTATGCCTTGCCAACCCAATGATTTCATGTACAGATACTTTGATGAAGATGATGAAGTTAGCACACCAACATCAACTTTGGAGTATATACCTGCCCCAGGTAGTCCCTCTTACCAAGAGCCTAAAGAAGAAAGTTCAGATTCGGAAGAAGATCCTCTTGATGCATACATGGCAGGAATTGAACAGCAAGTGCGTACTGATTCCACAAAACCGGTGGAGAAGGAGGATAAGAAAAAAGGAATTAGAGATGATATAGAGGAAGAAGACAATGAGGAATCCTATTATAGGTATATGGAGGAAAATCCTTTAGCAGGAGTGCAAAATGATGAATCTGACCAAGAAATAGAATATGATGAAGATGGAAATCCAATTGCACCCAAAAAAATTAAAGAAATCGACCCTCTTCCTCCAGTAGATCATTCCGAAATAGATTACTGTGATTTTGAGAAAAATTTTTACAATGTTCATGAGGATATCACTAGTCTCTCAAATCAACAGGTGGATGAATTACGACAGAAACTTGGTATTAAAGTTTCAGGGCCACAACCACCTCATCCTGTGAGTAGTTTTGCTCATTTTGGTTTTGATGAAGGCTTAATGAAAGCTATTCGTAAGTCAGAGTATACACAACCAACACCAATTCAAGCCCAAGCTATACCTGCAGCATTGAACGGTCGAGATATAATAGGTATTGCAAAAACTGGCAGTGGTAAAACTGCAGCCTTCATTTGGCCTATGTTGGTACATATTATGGATCAGAAAGAACTGAAACAGGGAGATGGACCTATAGGATTGATTCTTGCTCCAACAAGAGAACTGTCACAACAGATTTACGTTGAAGCAAAGAAGTTTGGTAAAGTGTATAATATCCAGGTGGTGTGTTGCTATGGTGGTGGATCCAAGTGGGAACAATCAAAAGCCCTTGAGGGTGGAGCAGAAATTGTAGTTGCCACACCAGGCCGTATGATTGATTTAGTTAAAATGAAAGCCACAAATTTGGAACGAGTGACTTTTCTTGTTCTTGATGAGGCTGATAGAATGTTTGACATGGGATTTGAACCACAAGTGCGATCCATTTGCAATCATGTTCGTCCAGATAGACAAACTTTATTATTCAGTGCTACATTTAAGAAAAAAGTTGAGAAGCTAGCAAGAGATGTTCTTACTGATCCTATTAGAATTGTTCAAGTGAGTTGAAAATAATACGTATTATTTCTCTCGGTCACAAGCGTATGATTTGCATTTCTGAAAAATATTATTTTTCTCCAGGGTGATGTTGGTGAAGCTAATACAGATGTTACTCAAGTTGTTAAACTGGTCTCACTTGGTGGAGCCAAATGGAATTGGTTGTTAAAGCATTTAGTGGAGTTCACTTCAGCAGGAAGTGTGCTTATTTTTGTCACAAAAAAGGTAAACACACTTGTCAGTACATGAAGTTGAATTTGCATTTAGACCTTCAACATCGTAAATATTTTCACAAATTATGGTAATATCACTTCAGGAGATTCATGTAGTTGCTTTACCCTTCTGATTCTTGTTACATCTAATGCATGCAATATTTCAAGGCATTATTTTATTTATGTTCTGCTTCTCAGGCAAATGCAGAGGAATTGGCCAACAATTTAAAGTTAAAGGAAATAGAAGTATTGCTTTTACACGGAGATATGGATCAAGTTGAGAGAAACAAAGTAATTACACAATTCAAAAAGAAGGAAGTAGATATACTTGTTGCGACAGATGTTGCTGCAAGAGGTCTCGATATTCCTCATATTCGAACTGTAATCAACTTTGATATTGCAAGAGATATTGACACACATACTCATAGAATTGGCCGAACAGGTAAAGAACATCTGTTGCACTTAGTAACAATTGATTGTTCATTTTACTCTGTGCTAAATTACAATAATGCATTTTTAATATTTTGCATCATAATAGCTATCACTAATTTATTGTTGGAATTTTCTTAAAGGACGTGCTGGAGAAAAAGGTTTTGCCTACACATTAGTGACTGAAAAAGACAAAGAATTTGCTGGACATTTAGTGCGCAATTTGGAAGGTGCAAATCAGGATGTACCTCAAGATCTCTTAGACTTAGCAATGCAGGTGTGTTTCATTTTAATATCAAAATTAATAAGTTTAATATGTGTTAATTAGAAAATGAAATATAATTAATATCATTTTTTAGAGTTCATGGTTCAGAAAGTCACGTTTCAAAAGTGGAAAAGGAAAGAAAGTTAATGTTGGTGGCCGTGGACTTGGTTATCGGGAAAGACCAGGCTTGGGATCATCTGAAAATCAGGTTTGTGATGTTACATAACACATATCCATATGTTATTAGATATTGGTGTCCCATCACTACAGGTTTTAGGTGTTAAAAATAATTATACTGTAGAATTTTTGTACTGCAATTAAAACCTGAAGCTATAACCTGCAATACGTTCCGAGATTAATGTTCTGATAAATAACTTGTATGGGAGTCCCAAGAATCCATAAATAAAATCATTGAATGAACATTGATCTAAGAGAAAAAGTAAAACCAAAGAATCTTCGAAAATATAAATTTGCTCAGAGCAGAATCTCAAGAGACCAATATTTATTCTGCTTAAGTTATTCTATGTTATACAATCTAAGACTTGAATATTCTTTTACCGGGACCACAGTTGACATTCTCATCAGATTTCCAAATTATACTTGTTCCAAGTGGAACAAGTTTTACTGTGCATAGTTTTCTTAAATCAAAACTCACAAATGTTACTTCCCAAAGTTTGAAAATCTGATTTAGATTAAACAAAATTCCATACTTCTGTATGCAAAGTAGAATACAAAATATGAACTTACCTAAAAATTTGTTCCTTAATCACAATGTTTAATGATTTTTATATTTTTTGCATGTATCTTCAGAATTCAGGAAGTAGTGGAGTTACTGAAGTGCTTGCTAAGACACCAAGAACTGGCCCAGGTTCTGACAGGTTGTCAGCTATGAAAGCAGCTTTTCGAAGTCAATACCAGAGCCAGGTAAAATTTCATTTTGATATTTATCTGGAATTAAGTAAGATAAACTAGCAGTTTGTGTAACATTGTTAATTTTTTAGTTTACAGCCTCATCTGATCACACATGGGAACAAACTCGAGCTCAGCCAACTATACCAGATGACCCTCCATCACCTCCACCCCCTTTTCTTCCTCCACCTCCTCCTCCCCAAAGCCTTTCACAAACCCATTCACAAAGCCATTCACAAAACGAGCCTCCGAAAAGAGTAAAGAAGAGTCGTTGGGACAATTCATAGGTGTGCGAGTCTCAGTTTTATCTTGTATTAAAACATGGTCAATACAGGCTGTATTGCATTCGAAATAGATATGTTTTGTATTACAATAGTCATAGTAAATGTAATAATGCTACATTGGAATATTTGCCTGCACTTGTATAAATTTTATCAAAGTGAACAACATTTTGTATGTTAAAAGTTTGATTTGTGATGTTTTGTATTGAAAATAAGTTGCATATTTGATTAAGTATACATATACAAAATATTTCAGTTTTCATATTTTACTTTTTTATTTCTTGCCCATGTTGCCTAATCCAGAGATGACCATCAATGACAATTCTCTTGAAGGTTTTATGAGATTGCCTTTGCTTGCACAACGATGCTTAGATTAGGTTGATTTAAAAAATCTTTTAGATAGCCAGCCTGGTTGGCAGATGTTAGGTCAACACATAGCTAAAATGTATTTAATTTGTTTAGAATAATTGTATTGGTGCTTTAAAAGTAAAAGATTAATCTTCTCCAAAAATTAAGTAATTTTCCATGTTTTTGATTAAAGTGAATTCAAAATCTCAGATTAATCAATCAGACAAACTATGTTATTTACCAGTGTGTACTTACAATAGTTAATAACAATAAGAATGGTTTGACAATAATGCAAAATCACAAACATCATTGTACATATAATGACACTACGAATACTCTTACTTTATTGGTGTGTATACTGCTGCTTTTCTATTTCTAGTTTACAAAGAGTGTGAGATGAATGTTACTGTGGGCATCTTATTTTGTTAGTAGGATTAAAATCTTGTAAGTTGATCATGTGTAATGTTGCTGTATACTATAATTGATATTGTAAATGTTTCTTTCCTTGTATTACATATTACAAAATTTATAGGAATAGCATTTTAAAATAATGTGTGCAGTTTAACATTAATACACATATCCTTTCTCAAAAAGTAACATTATACTAATGGATGATCTAAAATTGACGTTTTGTAGTTCCAATTACCAAAACTTTAATAGATCATTGGTTCACACAATTTTCAGACAAATGTGTATGTAATACTTTTTTTTTCTACACAGACAATAGTCACAAGGTAAAGTGACTGATTTCTTCTTTTGATGAGTAGGCATGAAAAAATCATTTCATGTTTTGCTCTCAGCACTATTTATCTCAAGCATGGAAATTATATTTTTCTACCTTACAATATATTTTGTTTTACCAGATCTTTTTTTTTTTCAGGAAAATATTAAAGCACATATCTTTTAAGCAGTCGGAGAAATTAACATAATTTTTACAAAAACGGTAAAACCTGCATAAAACTTAGCTTTTGGCGTTTTTCTCTTAGTTTTTTTTGTTTTGATCTGAACACTTAATTTCCCAATACAAAACTAATGTGGCAATAGAAAGGAACACAAAGAGAAATCTTTGACGATGGTTTAATTTCCTCATATTTACTCATTTGTGAGTGATTCCTAATGCCTGTCCTCTCCCAATCTTTTTGAAATTTACCAGAACCTAAGCTGCTTTTAACATTACGAAACAGATTTTTTTTTCTCCCCACATTGTGCCATTATACTTTTCTTTGATAATTACTTTAAATATATGAAGCAAAGGAACAGTATAATACTTAAACGCAAGAATTTTATTTAAATTGTACTGAATAGAATAAGTGCTTTTCAGCACAAAAATGCAGCCCATTGAAAACTTGTGCAGTGAAAATGTTCACATAGCAGCAGTTCTTGCACTTACAAGCTGTCTTCCTTTTTTCTGCAAAATATAAAACTATCCAGTACACACATCAATTGTGCTTGCCCTCCAGCAGTCATTCATTCAGTCAGTCTGATTTGTGATGTATTCTACTATAAATTCCTCAAATAAAATGTTTCTATTTGTAATCCATTTTTGTTTTAGAATTTCAGAAATAGAAGTAATGGAATTATTTCTCCAACCATCAGAGATTATTTTCAACAATGAGCTTCCATGTAATCAGGCCAAAGAATTCCTTCTTAATTAAGTTATTTACCCTATTCTTTCTAACCCAAAATTATTTCTATTTTGTCAAATGCAGGTTTTACTGCACATTAATGCAAGGGGCCAATGGGATACCACTATGTAGTGTTACAGAAATGACAGATTTGAATAGCAACTTCATTTTTGTACAGGGAAACAATTTTGAAGAATATGTTCCTTAATGCTTGCAACAACAAAAAAACACCAATATGAAATAAGGCAGATTTGTCTTCAGTTTTTATCAACTGATGCAAAGTGGATGAATCCAAGTTCAAAAATTAAATAGTCGGTAGATATTAATGATTCAGTGGTAATATACTAAATATGCAGTTTTGTGCTGTTTGCATTTACAGTAGTATCCCATATTTTACTATTTTAAAACTTGAGAACTTGCTGCTAATAATCTGCCCTTCAGAGTTGGTGGTGCCTCGTCTTGGTAATATAGTAAATAAGTTAATGAGGATTTGGTCAATATACAAAATTTATAATCTACATGCCAATCGGCTCATGACTAAGATCTTGGATTAGCCCTGATTTGCTAATTGCCATTCAAAGGAGCATTTCTGTTATGGAAGTAATAAACAATTACATGCAGTTCAGTTATTTGTGCACTCCAATTATATAATATTGTCCTAAGTACTAAATTATTAATAAACTGTACTTAAGCTGTGTAAAAGTGTACAGATATGAAAATATTTATCTTACCTCTATAATTTCTCCATGAAACTCCTTATGTGTGAAATACTCTTATCAACCAATTTACTTATGATAGAGGTATCTTTCTGTTGACTTTAATCTTATGATTTGGCATGCAGGATTTCCCAACTTCATGTCACTTCCATGCAAGCCTTTAAATGCTTCTCTGAGCCTAATCGTTTCTTCTTTCTCAACCTGGAATTAATTTTATTTGGGTATGAATGAATGGAAGTCCATGTTATGAATAAGAAATATTGAATTTAAAAAACGGTAAATTCCTTCAAAATTTTGAAAACAAACATGGAACTTAAATGAAGAATAACAAATACAGTAAATGTGCAGACGAGCAATGGTGATTTTGTTGTTCTATATTTAAGAATAAATTATCATATCAATAATTTTGCTTTCACGTTTTATTCCTTTCCTGTCCAATTGAATTCAACTTATGTGGTCATTGATGATTTATCATTGCAGTTTTAAGCTGAAACCCTAAATGGCAAAAGCATTCATTTGATAAGCATGTAAAAGCTTCAACTACAGAAATTAAAGTGTTTCCTGTAAATGATAATTGGAGTGTGGATACTAGGTTCAGATTTATCTAAATTGTTTTGGCTGGTCCACTAAATGTGGTTATTAGTGATAGTCCAAAAGAGTTTTTGTACATGATCATCAAAAACTGAAAAATGAGCAACAATTATTTCACAATAGCTACTTTACTGTGAACATGAAATAATTTCATTTAGATGTGCTGATGGTTCTGCTATATTCAGTTGCAGGTTTTCCAACCAAAGCCACTGGTTTTTGTTTGTTTGCTTTTTTCTGATCCAGCTATTTACCATCCAGTTTAAAACAGTATGTTTCAAGTAAAAGGAGAGAAGACATCCTTAAAAAGCATATTTAGGTATTTAATATCAGAGCTGAATTACATAAGACAGAAAGGTTATTTTTCTCTGTAAATTATAATTTAAGTAAAATGAGTTACTTTTCAGAGTATAACTCTGAAAACATTAAAATTGTTACCACTATTTTCTAAGAAAGAAATTTGTATTAGAAATTAACACAATGGAAATATGTTTTCTTCAAAGTAAATGATGAATGATGGTATAACATTCTAGAAGATTTATATACTCTAAAGTTACAAGGTGAGTCTTGCAATTGAAGTTTTCATAAGATGTGGAGGTTGTGGAATATAGTTACACAAAAAATATCTTAGTGGTATGTGCTTTGCCATCCACATCTTTTTCCTGAACATTATTCTAGGTGAAACTTTTAGCATACTTCTGAAAGGTGAAATATAATTTTATTACATAAAAACAAAATATTAAATGTAATGTATTTTATGAAAATTCAATAGAAGTTTACACTTAACTCATTATAATTAAACTTGAGGGACAGAGTAAATTATTTCCTTATTGGTAGTTTTCATTATATGTGTAAGGGTTATAGGCTTAAATACTTCCTACATTACACAAAGTTTTCTGCACATAGAGATTTAGAGTTTGAACTGCATTTAAAATCAGCACATGCAAACATCAGAATATCTTGTTGGCGCCTTTTATTTAATTGTAAAAATTAATATTCATTCAAAAGATTGTATTATTATTTATATTCTAATGATTCAAACACCTTTCATTATACAATTCAAAAATTACAGATTTTAATGGCTAACTCAGATAGTTACATGAAATGTAGAAAGCAATAATAATTTTTATCAAATAAAATTGTAATTTTCGTAAATTAAACCTATGGAAAAACTGTCATTAAATTTAAAATGATCATAAACAATAAAAGTTATTTCAAAAGATAGAGCATTTTAATGAATTTCTCAATAATTCAATTAAAGAAGCCGGAATTTCATACATGTATTGTAATGGAAAATATTTCTGCTAAATAAGATTCCAAGGTATAGAAAACAAAATACGGCAAAAGCCTTCAAGATCATTATTTTTCTTTTGTTATTCAATAACTGATTACAATTTTGCTTGCAATGTTTTAGAGCATATGTTATTTTTAAACATACAAGTTTATTTGTCTGTTTCATAAATTGAATAAAAATCATTCTTGTGAAAGTTTTAGATGTAAATGCAATACTTTACCTTCATATTCTAATTTACTATTACACTTTAGTATCATTTAATTTTGTAGCATAAAAAATGAAAATATTTCCAGGGATATGGTTGAAAGTGAAACAAATTAGCAAGTTGGTAATGCCTAAAACTCAAATGGCAATTATGATGAAATATCTTTATTTGATAAGATGATATTATTAACGAGCAGACATGTGTATGAATTTGCATGTTCAACACTAATCATCCTTAATGAAGATAACTAATCAACTCATTCTAGGCCAAGATACAGTAACTTCCTCTTTCCTGTTTGTACGCATGTGAGAATTAAACATGAAATGCTTTAAATTTAAGAAAAGAAAGCAAACAAGAAAATTCTACCACCTAATTACAATTGATACTTGCTTTTCATCTATTTAAAAACATATATTAATTCCATTTTAATTGAATGCTTTGTATTTTCCACCTTCAAAACAATTGTTTTTATTGAGCTTTAAGTATATTATAGCTTCTTTCCATTCCATATTGCAGTTGACAAAAAGTAGGAACTTAATGCTATTTAGCTTAGCAAAAACTATGGAAAATTATACTTCACATCATTGTTGTGTTTACTTGTTGAAACAACAATATGATTGTTATGTTAAAACATGGTTACTGCTACTGGCAGCAACTTACTTTTTGGTGACAGAACTACTCTTCAGGAAACAAATCTTTTCATCCTGTCCAGCATCTCACTTTAATTGAATCCAACTCTACAACTACTAAACATACTCATATTCTATCTTCATCATGGATAATGAGTGTAGGAAGGAAATGATGAAGTAGTACTAAGAAGATATAAAATTATTAAGATAAAGTTAAACAAAGTTACACATTTTTCATAGGTCCTTCCTGCAATGCTGACCCCCAGAAGCAGACTATGGGGGAAGCCAGGAAGTGGGGGAGGATGAGATTCTGTGGAAGACTATAAGAGGGGGACACAATGGGATGCAGTATTCATTTCTTGTTCCAGGATGAAGCCATCATATTATATTTGGTAAGTCACAGCAGTTATTGACACGTAATATATGTGTGAACTAATGAGACAAATTTCATATAATATATTTGTTATTTTAATGAAGGCAGCATCTATTAATAAATACTTCTGTTGTCAAATAGCCTACTTAATTGGAAATTTTACGTGTAATGTTACTAATATATTAAACTTTTGATATAAATACTTGTATTTCTTATAGATTATATTATTTTGTAAAATTTGCAAACTTTTAAAAATAATACATGTTGCTTTACAGATGTATCAATACTTCAAAATACAAGATTTTTTAATTGACTAAATTAAATAAATTATATTTGAACTTTTGTTTTGATTTTACAGCTTTAACAGATCATTTCATCTTCTCTTTGTTATAATGGTGATGATCATTAACATACCTGTGTATGAAGGTCATACACTGAAATCTATTAATACAGGTGATAAGTATATTCAAGTTAGTTATTGCTATTAACAATATTCTGAATTATGCATCTTAAAAATAGTTCAATTTTAGGAAAATCTTACTCAAGAGAAGAGAACAAGAATGTCTGTCAGACCCAACAATGCAAAGAAGCAGGTAAATTAAAAAATAATAATTTACTAGTATTAGGTATGAAATTACTAAAAAATTGTACTAAAAAAGAAAAATATAATTGATCTGGTTGCATTTATTTCATTTACAATTTTCTTCTGAACACAGCTAGCACTCTTCTAGAGAGTATGAACAAAGACGTAGATGCATGTGAGGATTTTTACCAATTTGCATGTGGAAAATGGGTCCAGAAACATCCAGTGCCTCCAACAGAATCTCATCGAAATCAATTTGACTTGGTTATGGAAAAGCTTGACTACCAGCTAAAAGGTTTTTGCAATGGAAAAAAAATGGTTTTTTAACATGAGTCTATGGCTAAATATATAAGAAAAACATTATTTCAATTCACAGACATCCTAGAAGAAAGGGAAAATCCTTCAGATCCTGCCCCTGTAGCTGCATCAAAAAGGTTTTATTCCGCATGTATGGACACTGGTAATTTTTCTTTCACTCTATACAAATTATTTTAATTTCATGAATAATAAAATGAAACAAACATTTTCAGACATCTTAACTGATGTTTTTATTGAATTATACTTTCTGTAGAGACAGTAGAAGAAGAAGGTCTCGATCTATTGAATATTATTTTGGATCAACTTGGGGGATGGCCCATTGCTTCTGTAGAATGGCAGCCAGAAACTTTCAGCTGGTCTGACATGTTGGCAGTAATGACGCGGCGTTTAGCTGTAACCCCACTCATTTTAACTTATGTTTATCTGGATCGGAAGAATTCAAGCAGAAGTATTATAACAGTAAGTTCAATGACAATTTAAAAGGAATATAAAGATTAATGAACAATATTTCAGTTGCTTTTGTACCATGAGAACTCAAGTTTTTGTTGTTTTTTTCCCCCTTTTCTTTTTGAAGAACATTAATATCTATTTATTTTATAGATAGATCAACCTCCACTAGTATTACCAAGATCCATGCTAGTGGAACCAGATGTCTATGGTCACCAACTTCAAGCTTATCGTAAATGGATCGTTGAAACTGCACATGAAATAGCAAAAGCCAAAAATATAGATATACCACCCACCAGAATCCATGTTGATTCATTTGATATTGTAGAATTCGAAATAGAATTGGCAAAGGTAACACCTATCTGTCGAAAACCGTGAAGTAGTTGAAAAAATATTTTTTCTATACTATTAATACTATAAAATTACTTATTCATGAGAAATTTTCAGGTCCAGTTTTGCACTTGTTTCAGTTAACTTCTCCCAATGAATTAAGAAGAAATGCATATCGCACATACAATGTTTTAACCATAAAAGAATTACAACAGTGGACTGATTCAGCCGAAATTGTTAATCCGCAAACAAGGGTAACTTTTTTCTTTTTGAAATAGTTTATTTGAGAGAACGAAGACTTTTGTCGGGGACATTTGGGAAGCTAGTCTTTCAAAAAGTACTGTTAATCAGAATATTTTAATGACTTATTGAAGATAAGATTTTAAGCAAATTCTATGAAGTTACATAAAAGAGATCTACAACAGTTTCCTATCATATTAGTTTTCACAAATGAATTGCAGATTCGGTGGCTGGACTTCATAAAAGAAATATTTCGACATGTTAATGTTCAGATTGGTGGTGATGAGAAGATAGTAGTAAAAGAACTTGATTACTTAATCAAACTTCTGCAACTTCTGGACAGTACACCAACACGAACAATAGGTAGGTAGTAGATTGAATAATTTACTATGTTATAAAAATTGAACTAAATATTTAACAACTTTATAACACAAATATGAAATAATTTATTGATGAATATTCAAAATTACTTTATTTTTATGGATTTATAGCAAATTATTTGCACTGGAGAATAGTAAAAACCTCCAGTAGAGATACTACTGCAAAGATGAGGCAACTAGCATTTGACTTTGAAAAAGTATTAAGTGGAGCAAAAGAGGATCAACCACGGCAAGTATACCTTTTATTACAGTATTTACTTTTTTTTCCATAAAATTTTCTGTTTGGAAGCCTTCTAAACTGTAATTCCATTTCAGATGGAGAGATTGTATTTTCCGAACAAGTGGATCTCTTAGTTTTGCTGTAGGTTATAAATATGTGAGTCATTATTTTGATTTTGAAGCCAAGAAAGCAGTAAGTATTTTGAAAACTTATTTGTTCGTGGATTCCTTCATAAATTTTAGTGTTCAATATGTTTTGTTTTGAAGGGTAATAGGAATGATTAAAAGGACTCTCTTACTTTAATTTTCATTAATAGTTGAGATTCAAATTTAAATTAACTTCAAACACTTGAGAGGCTTAGAAACAAAAGGATATTACGAACTAAAAAAACAAAACAAGTTAAGTGCATTTACACTTACATCTAAGGTTTAAAAACCAGAGGCAAAAAGAAGAACCAGACGCGAAATGTTATCTGTGCTTAGTTTTGGGAAGGTTTTTCAGAACCAGGCAGTGAAACACTTGGCTTAACTTTAGGAATGCCACTGGATCTGGAATAAACAAAATCGGTCACATTTTGATGCCAAAATACTTGTACAGCAAAGTTGATTCATTTCAGTTCTGGGATTGAATATATAAAGCAACCTTGAGTCTGGCCAAAGCAAAATTGCCAATGCAATTTTATGCCAGAACATACATAAGAGTGCTGTCTCAATCTCCAACCTCCCTGCACTGCAAACCAAAGAGGGTGGCCTTGTAGTATTCACTTAGATAAAAGTATTGTTAAATCTGATGTGTTCATCCAAATTTTGATTGTGATTTAATGTTTTGCTTTTATTAACATGTATGATTTGATTTTAATGTTTTGTATTTTGATAATTGTTTCTTCATATTTTGGAAGTATTTTTATCATAAATTAATCTTGTAGAGTTTGACCAATTTTATCTCAATATATTCTTTTGTAAATGATATTTTGTTTCCAAATAAATAAAACTTGCTATTTGCTTTATTAGCCTACTATTCTTTAACAAGAATAGGTGAGCAAGCAATAATAGCAAGAATAGCAAGTTTTAGTAACTCTTTGAACTTTTATGGCAATGAATTTGTAGATTATCATAAAATATATAGAAAACATTGGAACAATCTGAAAAATTCATGAAAAATATCAATTTTGATTTCCCAAAATTACCTTAAAATAAATAATTTCTACAATTTCCATTTTAACAATTTAATTGAAATGTCAACTAGGAAAATTCTTAATATGGAATGCCTTAATAAAACAACTTTAAATGGGAACCTTAAGGATAAAACAACAAATTGACTGTGAGCACTTAAGTTATCTTAAGATGGGAATTTATTTGAATGAGTTTCATAATATAGAATAACAATATTAAAGAATACAGTGCTAGTTGTTTTACTAGCTTGCATTTGATCTACCAGATTTGAAAACATTTGTTCTTAACATGTTTTGAATGTAGAATTTAAATTATAGGTCTTGAATTACCTTATAAATGACAATTGATCGAATTCTTTTTAAAAATATTTGTTCATAATCAATTTTTACAAGAATTATTAGTGATTTATTATGTATTTTTGCAACAATTATTAATTTCATAAAAATAAAATTAAAAATGAACATTCCCAGGCTGTAGAAATGGTTAAAAATATTCGTGGAGCCTTTATTTCACAAGTCCATGCTATTGATTGGATGGATGAAGAGACAAAGAAAGTAGCGGTTGAAAAAGCTGAAGCCATGACGGAACTAATTGGATATCCTGACTGGTATGCTAATGTAACTGCATTGGAACAATATTATAAAGGGGTGAGTTGATGAGACAATATTTAACAAACATTGTTTTCAAATGAAATTCATTCTTGCTATTTATGTTTTCTCTTAACTTATTCTAGACCAAGGTAGGAAAGAGCCACCTTGCTAATGTGGTAGCTTCCAAAACTCAAATGGTGCATAGAGTTTTGAGTAAATTACGTCAACCCACCGACCGCACTGAGTAAGTAGAATGGTACTATAATTTCTTAGAGCATCTTGAAAAAACAAAACAATTTGTCCTTTTGGGATTGTATTTTTGCAGATGGAACACAAGTCCAGATGTTGTAAATGCATATTATAATCCCCAAACTAACTCCATTAGTAAGTACAAGCAACTTCTTGCAAGGATGAAACATTTTTATCATAATGTACTTCTTTTTATTATTAACAATTTTTGCTTGTAGTTTTCCCCGCAGGTATTCTGCAATCTCCATTTTTTAACAAAGGAAGAATAGAGTAAGTACTTTTCAGTTTCGCTCAAGAAATAATGGAATACTATTTATTCTGAAAAATAACAAATCCTTATTTCAGAGCTCTCAATTATGGAAGCATTGGTGTGGTTATTGGACATGAAATAACTCATGGATTTGATGATATGGGTAGGTTTCATTATCACCAATTATGCAAAAAATGTACAATACTATTCATAATAAATTAATGAAACAAAAACATTTAAAAATGATAGGTTATAATAATTTAATTAGTTTTCAGACACTTCAATGACACATAACATTATTTTGAATAGTGGAGACAAAACACACACCATTCAGACTACAATTAATATAATTAATATTTGGAAACATGCCTGCTGCAAATTACATATATTTTCTTTATCTTTCAGGTCGCCAAAGTGATAAATATGGTAATTTAGCACAGTGGTGGTCTGAATCAACTATTGAAACATATCTCAGAAAATCACAATGCTTTATTGATCAATATGACCATTACAGAGTACCAGAATTAGATCATCTTTTAAAAACTGAAGTTACTGTAAGATTTTCAGAATACCATTTCCAAATTGAAGTGCTTTCAAAAAAAATAAATAAATAAATAAATAAATTTTAGAAATGCAATTTTTACAGATGAACGGGGTTACAACTCAAGGAGAAAATATAGCAGATAATGGCGGTCTGCGACAAGCATTTTTAGCTTACCAGCAATTTATTCAAAACAACGGTCCTGAAATGCGTCTTCCTGGCATGGAAGAATTTTCACCAGAGCAGCTGTTCTTCTTAGGCTTTGCCACAGTAAGTAAATTTTCCTACAATTCTCAAAAACAACTTGTTTTGAGATAAAGTCGACAAAAAATGAAATTCCTATTCCTACATGAAAAAAATATCAGACAATTTATTAATACAAACGTGTCTGTGGGACACATATTTATAAAATCAAACATACAAAATGAGCAGCTAATATATCATAATAGCAATTTTTTTACCCAAGCTCACTGATATTTCTTAAACAGGTGTAAAATGTTCAAGAATCCTTTTCAAAAATAACCTGTTACTTAGCCGTGTTTCCATTCCAGTTTTAAAAATATTTTGATATTTATGAATTTCTTAATATATTTTTAACGTAAACAATTAAAGTAACGTTTCTAGTATTAGCCTTTGAGAACAAAGTTTCAGTGTACTTTCTGACCTACAGTTAATCACAAAGTTGTAAAAAGGAAAGGCTGGTTTGAAAACGATGTGACGGTTACTGACTTTAAAAAATGAACCATTTTGCATAATAAAATATAAAACCAAAGTGATATGATAAAAATTAAGAACATATATAAAATAATTAAAATGTTATGTTATAAGACAATTACTGTTTTATAACCAATTTTTGTCGTACTAAACAATATTGATAGCTAATAATCCAATACTAGCTGAGCTCATGCAAAACTTTCCACTCTGACTCCCGGCCCCCAGCCTCCATAGACACCACCTTGTCCACCTTGCACCACACATGCATAGGACCACCCGTTGTCATTTGACTCGCTACCCAGCTGAGGTTGAAGGGATGCTTATCACAGAGTGCAGGATTGATCAGGCCACACACTTCAAAATTACTTTATTTTTTTCTCCAGAATACATTATTAGTATTTAGAACTTCTTAAGACTTTTTATTGGTCACTGTTCAGTTCTCATAAAATGTACAGAAAAAGTGTACTTCTCATTAATATACAGATACTCAGGATTAAAACTTATTAAAAAGTAAATTGAGAGATCAAACCTGTTACTGTTTAAATCACCAAGATTAGTTTTATACCATCTTAGAGAACTAGTTTTCAAAATGTTTAATTATACAGTGCTTGGAAAAATGTTTAGAACACTTCAGAGGACAAGGCTGGGATTAGGAGAAAGCAAATTTTCTTGAAATGAAGTGGTGTGTTTGCTCTGAACAATACCACATAAATACAATATTTCCCAAACATCCTCACCTTTCTGCACAATAATCAAATCCACAAGAAACGAAGGTGGTTGCAGCAAGGAGAAATCCGGGAATGGAGGTCCGTCTCCAATGTTCAGAGGGATCTGCCATAGATTAGTTTGAATTTTTTTAGAAGTATTTAATGGAAAAATTACCTTTGTTTTGCATTTAAATTAATATTTGACTACTTAAAAGACTTTTTTCTAATACACTAAATTTTAATAGCCATTGAACAATTTCCAGGTTTGGTGCGAGTCAACTACAAGTGAATCTCTTCTGCAAGAGGTCTTGTCTGACCCTCACAGCCCTCACAAACTTCGTGTATTGGGCACTCTGGCAAATTCAGAAGATTTTGCAAAGGCATTCAATTGTGCACCTGGTTCACAAATGAACCCTAAAATTAAATGTATGATTTGGTAATCCATATTTTGAAAATTAACAACTAAAAAGGATGAGAAAATCTTTTTATTTAATGTTCCTATGATGAACTCTGGATAATTCTAAACCAGGTCTTTTTAGTAATTTCAGAGTAGTGTATTATAAAAAAAAAAAAAAAAACTTTCCTAATGTAAAATCTATTTAAAATAAATCTCGGAACTGCCACATAAAAACTAAAAATAAGTGTTTATTTATTAGTTTGTTAAAAGAATGTTGTATTCCACTAACAAAGAATTTTGTTTTCCCTATATCTTAAAGTTAACATGAAGAGGAGATTTGCTTTATATAATTTAAAGATATCAAAATGACTTGTAAATTTGCATTATTGCCACATTAACCTCTCTCTCAATTTGTGTAGAAATTGAAAGAATACCTTACAGCCACATGAGGAGTGTCGATGTTTTCATTAAAATATTCGGGAACTCTGGGGGAAATCTAAAAACAATATAACAGCTTCAATTCTGAGAGAAATAGGAGCAATCTCAAGAAAACATGCAGAGATTATAGTACTTCTACCCCATATGTCACATAGTTATTATTGTTTTTTTGTTTCTCTTTTGGTGTGTGTGTGGGGGGAGGGGGGGGAGGGAACCAAATAAAATCATAAAATTGGATTGTTTTTCGGTCTATTCTTCTACTGCTTGAATCAAATGAATACTTATACCCAGTGCTATACTGCTTTCGACATAGCTGATGTCATGTAATGCTCCAAACAAGAGGATGCCTGCCATTAAACATTTGCTTTTTAACTGTTACTAAGTAAAATTAACATTTTTGATATTCTTAAAATGTAAAGAACTCTTGTAAAGATATGCAATAACATTCTATGCTATGTTATTGCAGTACTAAGTGAATTTGTTAAAACATTTAATTTATTAAAGTGTTGTTCGAGAATATTTATTTATTGTTTGTGAGAAGCTGCGTAATTGCAAACTTCTTGGAAAATCATTTTGTGTGGTTTTGTTTAAATTTGTCTCCAACAACTTGTAAATTTCTTTATTTTTGTAAACCTCTTGTGCATTTCATAATTTCTAAAACTTTATTATGTATTGCCATTGTTCCATTTCCAATTTTCCATTGCCATTTGAATTTCTGTGTGCTCTGATATTATTTCTTGTAATTTATAATTCATCAGTTTTACCAAAAATGAATAGATCCATTAATTAATATAATCTTTAATAAAAGAATGAAAGAAAAATACACCTTTTCTGTCGAATTAAAATAATTATTTATGAATCAAAAAACTCTACATTTTTATTCTCATTAAAAAGTTCCTTTGGGCACATCACATTATGTGTTGAAGAATTTAGAAACTCTCCCTACACTCAAAATTAATTTGAAATGAATACTTCTCAGAAGTTTCAAATTTGAATATTTTTTTACAGATAATATTTTTATATTGTTTAGTGTATTCAGTATTCCTCTTTTTCCTGCTTCCATAAATTAGGTATTCTCTAGTTTGTGTAATACAGTAAAAATTGTCTAAGACAGAATCTGACTGTTCCTCCAAAAACTTTCTGTCTTGGCAGGTTTCTGATTTGTAGTGTTGCCAAAAATTCACCATTTAACTCAAAATTATGGATTATTATCGCAGTATTTTCAATATAATTGTATCCTCTTAATGATCCATTTTGAATTTTGTCCTTATTTTGTAACATGTAATAAATTTGAGTTTTTTTCACTTTGAATTTCGCAACTAAGTCATTTGCAGTACATTTTTCTTCTGGTGCTTATCAATTTCTTCCATTTTCTCCTGGAGTGGAAGGGTTTTGCACGTACCCTTCAAAGACATTTTGACACACTAGCACACAGCATACTGTAAGCAGTCAATAAATTGTCTGGTCTATACCTTGTCAACCCGGTGAATGCAAAGATTTCTTGACAACAGGCATAAAAGGAATAACTCATTATTCACTCAATTGTAACCCTTCATAATATATCATTCCAAAGATATTTGCCAGAAATTTAAAAATAAATTTTCTTTTTATCCTGGTAATCTATCTACGTTCTTTACAATCCATTCCATATCTGTGTTAGAAAGGTTTCTGGCTTATGGAGGTCATTTTCACGTTCAAAATTGTGCCGTTCTAAGATTTTTTTGTCCAGGATGTCAGGTTTCCATCTTATGACAGGTATTACTGTATTAAAAGGAAGCTCTCTTCTGTATTTTTAATCCCACAGGGTCACAAATATGTTTACACACTAAAACTAAATAAAATATTTCTTTTAATGTGTTTATTTTGTTATTTCAAAACACATGTCACTCTACAATATTTGTTCTCTACAATCCCCTTTTGAAAATCTGACACTGACTATTCAATGTAATATGCTGAGCAAGAAAACCTGTATTCTGGCCATTTTTTTTTTTTTTACACAAAACTCATGTCACAATAATATCCTTGATATTTCCAACATGGACTTGGTTTACATTCAGTAATTCAGTGGTATATGGGAGGGGAGGGAATGCAACAGGCCTCCAGAAAATCAATTTAACAACATTTCACATTTTTCAGCAGTAGGCGTTTCTAATGATCGAATGTTATGCAAAACACCTGAACTTTATTACTAGAGATCCCATAAAAATAACAGTGTAAGTTCATAGTATTAGTACTGTGTATGGCAAAGTTTGCCTTTTTTCTTCAGTAATCCCTATATTATTTATTTACATAATGAACTGCTCAATTTGGCAATTTTCCATTACCTGGTGATCTATATACCTCTGAGATTTTCAGATGTTTACTTTCTAGTATACTTATGATGTACAGAATAATATATGTAGTATAAAAACATTTCATAATGCTGTGGAAAATCTATTTTGAGATTTATATAGAAATACATGTTTCAGGGTCATTGAAAAAGGTTTAGTTGGGGATTGTTAAGGTATTGTTTTTTTGATGTCCATCAGTCTGTCGTCTGTGAACTATTCAAACTATCTAGTGCCTAAACTATGTGTAGAACTTTTTCCAAACTGTACATTTCACCATCTGTCTGGCCCCTCTCAAAGGACTGGGATTTTAAAAAAATATTCTAAAGTTTTGGGGGTACTTTACATGATGCCTCTGGAACAGTCTTAAAATTTTCTCAAAACTGGGTCCAATTTTTTTCCTTAAATTTCTAGTAAGAATGGAGTGAAATACACTTATAAAGGTGGCATAGGTCTGATTACAAATTATTTAATTTTTTTGATGTCTTCTCTAACTACAATATTGAAGATACCATTTTTTCTACTAAAATTTGTTTTCTGTAATTAGTTTTTTCATGAAGATCATGCATTTTATTTATTTTAGTAGTTTTTGTCCAATAGTGAGTGAAACATGCAATATTAAAAAGTATCAAAAAATAATTTCTCAAAACGGTTTTAAATTTTTTTTGTTAACTTTTGATCGGGATAGTGCTAAATGTTCTGTAACAGAAGACATAAATGCCATGTTGCTGTATTCTTTTGTTTTTTCAAAAATTACACAAATGTAATATTTTTGACATCTCTCTCATTTTGTTAATATTTACATTACTGATAATTTGTACAAATTATTGCATTTATGAGTACATGCGTTTCAAATAATATCAAAGTTTCTGTAAAAATTGCATTTATGAGTACATGTGCTTCTGTAAAAATCAAGTTTTCTATGAAAACAAGCTCAAAATTCTGCATTTTCAGTAATGCTGAAATGCTATTTTCTCAATAACAGCACAAAATGTTTTCTTTAATTTTTTGAATGGAAAGTGATAAATGAACTGCATAATCAGCCTTTGTGACTAAAAATGCTTTAAATGATTTCTAATGAAATTTCTTGAAAACTCAAAAATGTCCTATGAAAATGAGCTTCAAACTTTGCATTTTCAGAAACAAACAACATTTCTCGAAAACAGCTCCAACTTTTTCAATGAAAATTTCCATTCAAAACAAGGTTTTATTCTTCTATAATTATCTTAAAACCATGTTTCATTTCATACATTAGGAGTCTGAAAAATTGAGAAAATGTGTAAAATTTACTTTAGGTGGCAACAGATGGCAACTGGAAAGGAGAGCAAAACCAAAAAAATAGTTCACACCAAAGTAATTAGAAAACTAATTATTACAGGAAAGTGTGTGCCTTCTCTAGCACCTCTAGTTAATTATAAGAAACTTAAGTAAACTATTTTATGAAAAAAATATTTTAAGATACTTAATCAAGGCAAACATTTGCAGGAATAACTCTTATTATGATTTTATTAAAAACTATTACGGAAATGTCAGAATTAACAAATTCTAAAATTTTAGTTTAATGTTTCTTCAGGTGATAAGTATTAAAATAAAATAAATATAATAGTGAAACAAAACCACCCCATTCATGCTTTTCCCAATAAAACTTACTGGCATCGTGGTATAAATACGAATTAACTGGAGTCACGAGTGATGTTAAGAAAATTTAGACTCTCATATCTATGTATGCCTGTGCTATCGGTATTACTTATTGGGAAATTATAAATACAAACTTTTTTTATTGCCCATTTTTAATCCTTTTCACCTACCTATTTTGGATTATTACTTTAGTGACAGACATCCCTTCTCTACTCATTATGTATCTGCCAACATACTTGATGCAGCTTGATGCACCATCAGATGAAAAAAATCAACAAAGCAGATACATGCAACCAGTATGAATAGGCACTTACTACAAACATAGCAAGAACAAAATAACATACTCCACATAAAAGGAAAATAAACGTTCATGGAACTGCCAATAAAATTATTCTACATTTACGGCTGCCTGTTTTCATAAATCCACAATTTTTCATCAGAATCACTCAATAAAACGGATCACTCTACATGCAGTCTCAAATGTCGTATTCTAAGTACTGTTTTACAATGTCAAGTATCTCTCTGTTGTACACAGGCACAATAAATTAAAAATGTCTTTAACAGAGTAAATTTTATTCACTTTTCTTACAAATAAAGCAATTTCTCCCAATGGGTATCCATGATGCTGCAGTACAAAAGTTTTTACTCTATTCTACACACAAAAATTATGTTCATTTTATCTTGAAACATTTTCAGAAGGCAACAGGATTAACCCAAACAAAAAAGGGAAATATACTTAGCCAATTATCGAATTAGCTCCAATATATATGCATTGGCCCAGAGCAGTACCATTTTGTACCTTGTGTATAAAGGTAATATACCTTAAAATTCATTGCAATAGCTTACAATATAAACAACATAAAAATATTGAGTCTTCTCCATAGACACAATGCAATAAATTCATCTTCAAAACAAAAATATAAGTTGTAACAAAAAATTTTAAATAAATCACAATGACATTTTATCATTAAGTTCTCATAATATCAAAATTCTTTGCACATTTGCACAACAGCAGTAATATATGGTAAACAGCCTGCCTGTATAGGACAGTCAACATAAACCAATAAAGATTTTCAAGGTTTTATAAGGAAGTCATCATTATCATTCATAAAAAGATACAAAATGTTTAGTGTTGTGAAATAATAATCATTTAATACCTCCTGTACTTAGGCCACACACACAGTTGGAGGATTTCGAAAGCTTACATTGCAAAAGGAGCAAACATTCACTACACTATCTCTGCCAAATAGCTGTCAAAAATCACTATCCATATTTGACATACATATATCTATGATATTTCTTCAGATAAAACTGTACATATTTTATATGGAATAAACAACGGATGGCAGAGAGAAGTTGTTGAAGATAAGAATAAGTTAATCAACATTCATTATTTTTTGTACAATAAACTAAGTCAAAATGACTTCGATCCTATCTAAATGAAGTTTCACACTTTCAATGAAATGAAAACATTAAACAGTTTGTTCCTAAAAGGTACATTGCTGTTATAAGTGACATCTATCAAAAATGTTCATGTATATGTCAAGGAAGACCAGAAATAACATTTGCAATCAATGCAAAAATAAAAAGCAAGCAACAATGTAAACTTTCAAATAAAGAATAGTAGAATATAAAAATCAATCACTAATTACACAAAAGACAACCATCATTAACTTGAATGCCACACAAAGAATAAACACTTCATCTCTCAGCACACAGACAATGCTGTTGGTTCTTACGAGTGATGAAATTACTTTTGAATTGACATATGGCAATCTACGAAAAGAAATTTCAACTTATTTGCTTCACACACACACACACACACACACACACACACACACACACCAAAAATTAAAAAATGCACGAAGATCTATTATTACCAATTATTCAACTCAAACTCATTTATGAGGTGAGATAAAGGAATAGTTCCACAGAAAATAATTCTGTAGAAATAACATCATGCAATAAATGAACTCTCTTCATCTTTTACAGCAACTAGAATAAGTCTGGGCGAAAAAGTGTGACTTTTCAGGGATTACTCAATAAAGGTAAAAGACGATCCATTTCTGATTGGATATCAGTTTTTCTAGCAACCTTTTCAAGCTGATCTTTGTCAGGATTCTTCAATTCCCCTGTTTTAATTTTTTGTTCAATGACTTCAATTTCACGAAGCTTTTTGCGTAAATTCTTTACCCTCTTGGCTGGGTCTGAACAAGACAGAGAAGATGAAGATTGTCCATTCCCCCCACTAGTTTTCTTATTTGTTTCCAGACCGCTATTCACAGGTGTGGTGACTTTTGCTGCTTTAGATGATGGTTTTATTTCTTCAGTAGAAACCTGTGTTTTAGCCAGAGTTTCAGTAACAGCCTCAACAGATGCATTTGAAGCACCTTTCTTCTTTTTCTTCTTTTTGGTTGTTTTTGCTGAATTTTTAAATATAATGTAATTATCATAATAAAAATTTTTAATTTGTCTAAACAAATAACAAAGTCTAGAAATAAGTATACATACTTTCTGTAGCTGCATTTATAATGAGGCCAGGAATGGGAGACTTGGACTTTGCTTCCTTCTCTCTTCGGGCCTTAGAGGCAGCAATAATTTCTGGAGAAAGTCCAACTGGATATGTTGGTTTATTTTTAGCAAATTGTTTGCCTTTACTCTCGTATCTGCAAATTGTAAATGAACATAAATTCTGAAATGAGTCTGTAACGGATAAGTTTTATTTTTTGGTTTGGCCTAAGGGATCAACTGAATAAATCTTAAAATCTGTAAAATATTGTTTTTTCATTTGGCTTTTGACAAACCATCAATGATTTATCTTAATGTACACAAAATAAAATTAGCTTAGGCATTTTAAATTTAAAAAATTATAATTATCATCAAAATAAGGATCCATACATGCTCTCACACTTGATTGCCTTGTGTCAAAAGATTTTTGTTTGAAGTAGGTGTTTCCGCAAATAACTAATAGAGTATCTGAATGACCATATTCTTGATATTTCTATGAATATATTGGATGTTTATATATTTGGATTCATCGATTGAATCATTGTTTCTTGGTTAAAATACACAAATTGAAAGCTTCAAATGACCAAGCAAATGGGATTCAATTAAATCTGAATGAATTGTTAGTTCCTGCCACATGAACACAATATAACAGAATCAACTGAATGCAGTTGACTGAAGTAAGTGGAAGATAATAAAAATTTGCATAAAAAGGCCAGCAAGACGAATTAATTTCAATGAAGTGCATTTTGTATACAGGAGGGGAATAATACCCTATGCTTTCCCCCTGTCGTGCTGTGATCTGGACTATCCCAATTTGATGATATCAGTAAACTGTCCAGTCAGATGTTTCGTCCCAATTGCTTGGAAAAAATTTAAATATGCTATACAAGCAAGAAAAAAAACAGTAGGGGCCTTGTATAAAATGATGAATTAAAATATCCATAACCTTTGCACAAATGAACCTTTCTCTATTAAAAAAAAAAAAAAATTTATTAATGAAGCCATTTTTGAAAAAATTATGAAAATGTCCTAGAATTTCATGTCAAAAATAAAAAATTTGCTTCTAATTTGACAAGTTACAATGTCACTGAGACCAACAAAGAAATATCTTTTTGATGAAACTCTTGTGTACAGTTTAGAAGCTATGTTGTTCACAGACAGATGAACAGACACGTGTACAAAATGACCAACATTTTGAGAAATACACTTTTCAGGTTTCTAGGGCATGTCTTGATTACTCTACATTTATGGAAAAAGGATATTCTAAAATAGGAACAAGAAAAATACTCTTTTTGGTACCAACAACCCAGTTTTTCTGTCTAAAAATTGGCAAATCCCTTTCTCCTTCCCTATTCCATTAAATGTTTTCACTGTATGTAATACACGAGGATATAAACAAAGTTGTAATAAGTTACACAACAATGACAGTGATGACTATGGTCCATGTTTATGACCTAAAAATATTATAAAAATGCAAGCACTTATGGCCTAAAAAAATATGAAAATGACCAAAAATACAACTTAAAAAATGTTTGGTTGCATTTTGAAAACCTTCACAACATTTCCACAAATTACGTAACCATTATAATGAAAATGTACTGTTAAAATAAAATTATTGTAATTGAAAATATTATATGATAAAATCATGCTATCTTACATTTTTACAGAAATAACGAACAGAAAAACAATATGACATATAAACATCCAGCCCTAGTGATGACATAACTAGTTTTAGTGACTTCGTAATCAAAAATATTGATATACAATTTCTTTACACTTTTTTACAAATGCAATTTCTCCTAATTGGGTTCCTTAATTTATAGATCCTCATGCAACCATTTAATGAAACCATTTCCTCACCAAACTCAAAATAGTTTTTAATAGAGGGTAGCCAATACAATATCGAAGTTTCCATTAAAGTAAGAAATATCTCAACATACGCATTCCATTAAAAGCAGTTACACTCAATTTTACAATTTGACAGACCCCAGTCACATCCACATTAGTCAACAACAAACCACTTTTCCTACAAGATAATTATAGAAAAAGCACATGACTGAAGATAAGCTCCTACAATTATTAAAATGCTCTTTCAGTTGGTCAACAAGTTTATTTTTATTTAAACTCACTTTTAGATAACGCAGAAAGCAGCAACACAGCTCAGAAACCACAAAATATTTTTTAACAATATGGGAAAACTTTTCTTCTGATGAATTTCTTATTTTCCACCCATAAAACCAATATTTTATGAAGAACGCTTTTCCAACACAAAATCACAGTGCAAATATAAACAATACAAGAGTAAATTGAAGATAAACTTATAATTGTGCTACTTTTTAGATGAAAATATAGATATATTATCAAATATTCTGGGGGAAAAGGAATAAAATATATAAATATGTAATTCAACCAAATTTGAAACAATCACCCTTGTTTTACATTTAAATCAAGACGAGACTATCACAAATCGGAATATGTAATAACATTCTTAAATAATCATCCAATTGATAAAGAAGACAGGTAATAAAACTAGTCTTACAAGGGAACTTCTTCTTGTGGAACATATCCATCCTTCACCCTCCTTGGTTTTCTCCATGTACCATCGGGTCTCTGACTTGCAGCAATGAAAGTTGCACCTATACAAAAGTGTCATTATTAGTTTTAAAATCTGTGTCGGACATGAGCATTTTAAAACATACCAACTAATATGCTCACTGGATCTCCATAAAATAAAAAACATAAGAATCTGAACATTTCAGTGATACAGGGAAACATTCCATTCTTCATTGAGCAATTGAAATAATAATTAATCATCGATTGCGTTAATCATAATATTCCCTAGAAATTAGTTACAAGTCGAGATAATATAGATAAAGTTTAAAGAATGGTCCAGGCATTGCGCTACCGCGTCCTTAGAAACGACGCACAGTTCAAGAAAAATAATTTCAGTTTGGTGTGTCAAATCACACGTTGAACGGGGACAAAGGTATTTTTCTACACGTTTAATACATGCTAATAAAGTAAATATCATTCCCACCTTGCTCATCTTTTACGTACGTAGTGCTCAGTGCCATCTTGTATCTAATAATAGCATATGGAAGGAGTGCGAATCGTGAATCGGAAGGATATCACGATTTCTTCAAAATCGATTTTAGGAATCGCAGAATGAAAACGCGCCAAATTAAATCGGGAAAATCCCATACTTGTCCTTAACCTATTTTATTCACACAAAGGATACATAAACATGTAAATATAAGACTATGAATCACTCGAACACTACGAACACTCATCGCGGAGCAATTGGATTCATCAGTATCAGATATTTAATTCCAAAATCACAGAGTTACCTTCATTAAATCTTCTCAACCTAAATTGAAACTAGGGGCTCAAAAACATGGCCTCATTCTTTATCGTATTATTAGTAGGGTTATGTAAAATTGCAGTAACTGCATAGCAAATTATGTAGGCTACTATCATTTTCATTTATCTTTTACAAAACCTCATCAAATTGCTTGGAATTCAGCACACCATTTACTACCTTCTGAGATCCACTACAGCAGGCCCAGTGCTTGATTTTGGGGGAAACGCAACGGAACGGCGCTCCAGTACCTTTTCGCTTATATAATAATAATAATAATAATAATAATAATAATAATAATAATAATAATAATAATAATAATAATATTTATTGAGTCACATATATACAATTACAATAGTGTATGACGAGTCAATATGATGCCTTGGGTGGAGAGAGCGAAGTTATATTACTGTTCAGGAGCAGGTACAGAAAAAGTAATGAGCCAACCGAGGATTTATTATTCAGATTTTTAGATAAACCAACCTAAATTAATACAGAATGAATAAACACACTTCCATTCTAAAAAGTTCATTCACACAAATAGATACATGTAATTTTGTGTTTTCCTGCCATTATGTCAATAAATGTGTAACCTATAAAAGGAAACTTCTAAATATTTTATCTAAGTAAATTTATAACTTGAAAATTCGCAGTTTTAATTTAATGCAATTATTGTACTGCTATTATTGTTGCAGAATTCAATTCAATTTGAATTCACTTCATATAATATTTGTAATAAACAAATTTGAAGTCGGACTTCCATTTATCTGACATTTTTTTCAATAGTATTTGATATTGTATAGAATCTTATAATAGACAATAATTATGAAATTTTAGCAAATGCTTTAAAAGAATTTCAGAAACATTGACTAAAATGGAAAATTCAAACATTAAATTGTTAACACATGTTTTAATCATTTATACCAAACATTAATGAACAGAAATATGAAATTAGTATTACTTTTTCTATCACATTAAGGGATCTTCATTTAGACATTTCAAACACTTCTTAAGCGTGTAACAGCAAACTGAACCTGCACTGTACTGACAAACTAACATTGTAGAACAGGGCTATCAGACAAAGGGGCTCATTATTCACCTTCAAATTGCAAAGACTTCACAGAGAAAAAATGTTTAGTCACAAAGAAAGTGCAAGACATAAAATAGCGCAGAATATAATTTTGGAGGGTAAAAAAGACATTTGAAAATATAATTTTGGAAAAGCATTTTGATGAGCAAGAAGTGACTGCAAAAATTGTTCGCTCTGAATATAAAGTTGTCAGAGAAAATCAGTATTTTAACAATTTCAAAACATAAATTGATTTACAAGAATTAAACTAACTAGATATGGGATGCGTTTTACATTCGAATAAACCTTGTGCTAATATTGTGGAGTGCATTAGTTGGGAAATGCGTAAAAGAATAGTACATAAAATGGTCCATTCAGGTATTAAAATTGGATCAATTATTGATGACTCAACTGTCTTAAGTAAAACTTTCACTCTAATTATATTCATATAATTCTGTATATAAGAAGAAAGTATAGATAAATTAATTTATTCTTAAACCTGATTGAGCTTAATGTAAGCCAAAGGTGTATACCGTTCCAGTACTTTATATTTTAAAAATCAAGCACTGAGCAGGCCTATATTAAGAATTAAACATGCTGCATAGGCCTACATGACCAATAATGGGGTTAGAAATACTATAGTTAATGTATTTGATTATTTAATTTTCTTTCCTGTTATAGTTGTATTAAAAATACTGTTTTACCATAAAAACTATTTTTTCATATTTTCTTAACTTAGGACTCTCAATTGTATAAATCAAATGAGGATTTTTGAATTTAATAGATGAACAAAACCTCCTGTCACATGGACATTTCTAGAAAAAATGCAGCCATCTTCAGATTTTTCATGTGAGGATTTCTGAAAACACATCATTTACTGTAGAAAAATTTTCAAATATATACATCAGTAATGTAAATACTATTGTACTGCCAGTGTTCCAAAAAATACACAAGTAATTTTTGAAAATTCCAAAAATTATTATTAAAGTTCTGTACATTATTTTTATACAAGAGCACTGCCCCATGCAGACATGCACACACATTCGTACACCCTTGCCTCTGTGTGCCTCTGTGAGTGTGCATGTGTGATGTTGTGTGTGTTCTCTCTTCTCCTCTCCCCCTCCCTCTCTCTCCCTCCCCCCTCTACCCCCTTCTCCCCTCTCTCTCCCCCCTCTCTTCCCCCTCTCTCTCCCCCCTCCTCTCCCTTCTCTCCCCCCCTCTCTCCCCCCCTCTCTCCCCCCTCTCTCCCCGTTCTCCCTCTCCTCTGTCTGTCTCTCTCTCTCTCTCTGTTCTGGTCTCTTCTCTCTGTCTGTCTCTGCTCTCTCTGTCCTGTCTCTCTCTCTCTGTCTGTATCTCTGTCTCTCTCTCTTGTCTCTCTCTGTCTCTCTCTGTCTCTTCTCTCCTCTGTCTTCTCTCTATGTCTCTCTCTCTTGTCTCTTCTCTGTTCTCTCTCTCATTCTGTTCTCTCTCTCTGTCTCTCTGTCTCTCTGTCTCATCTGATCTCCCTGTCTCTCTCTTCTGTCTCTCTCTCTGTCTCTCTGTGCTCTCTGTCTCTCTGGCCTCTCTGTCTCTCTTCTCTGTCTTCGTCTCTCTGTCTCTCTCTTCTGTCTCCTCTCTCTCTCTCTCTGTCTCTCTCTCTCTGTCTCTCTCTCTCTGTCTCTCTCTCTCTCTCTCTCTCTTCTCCTCTCTCTCTCTTCTCCTCTCTCTCTCCTCTCCTCTCTCTCTCTCTCTCTCTCCTCTCTCGTTTGTATGTATGCATTCCCACGCAAACAGCAACATTGCAAGGAAAACTCACGTTGATTTTATATATACTTGCACATAATAAATATCGGTTTCAACTTAAAAGGTGCCGCGACATAAGACAGATAGATTGGGGAATATCAATTTTGGGCAAAACCGGCTGAACGGTGTAGCCGCTAGCGTTGTTCACAGATGAACAGGCCGTCAGACAGCCGAATGGGCACACAGACGTTTTTCGTTAGTCCATTTTTCTGTATCAAGGAACCACAAAACATGGATTCTGGCTACATCACGTGTTAGAGCACCCCCCCCCTAAATTTTGCAACTGGATTTATCCACTCTTTCCTTACCAGGGTCCTGTAATGAGTTTTTCTGCCAAAAATTCGCCTGTTTTTCGCGCGTTACAACATGCAGCAACTGTAGCAGCGCGCGCAGCTTTACATAACTTTCCCTTTACTGCGTAAGCGGTAGCGAGAAAGTAAAAGCAGTGCTAGTTACTGCACGATTCGGACGAAAAAAACGTCCCCATTTACATTCTAGATGTTGGAAAAGCACCAAAGTTTCTGGAAACCTTTCAAACTCCTTCTGAAAACTTGCAGATAACTGACTTCTTCTTCAAATTCATCACCTTCAATCAGTCAGGTTTCATACTCTATTCTCCAGATTTATTTCGATCGCATCGAAAATCAATCAGATAAGATAGAATTGCTTGTCAAATTATTAACAAAGCTAGTTAGTAAATTAAATTAACTTTAAAATGACCTGTATTGTAATATTTGTTCTCTAGAATTCCAACTGAATCATTAATCTCCAACAATTAGAAAATTACATTCGTATGAATGATAATATAAATATAATACTGATGACCGAAATGCATTTCACTGAACGAAGCTACATAAATTATTCTGGATACTATATCTAGACACAAAGCATCCAGATGGTAGGACACATGGTGTCACAGCAGTTATTATTAAATCTAACATCGCACATCACGAAATGTCTAAAAATGCTGAAGATCACATATAAGCAACGTCTGAGTATTTGATCAAAAGTTTTTGACAAACAAGGTCACTTCGTGATATCTGCTGTGAACTGTCCTCCGAAACATCAGCTAACATTTTGAAACATATTTCGATACACTTGGTGCAAGATGTATATGTTGAAGTAATTTCAACGCAAAACACCGTCATTGGGGCTTACGCCTCGACACACCAAAAGAACGTTAACTCTATCGTGGACTGTTATCAAAGCAATTACCAACAGCGTCGACCGGAGAACCGACATATTGGCCTACCGATGAAAATAGAATTCCAGACCTAATCGCCTTCTTCATGCTGAAAGGCGTATCAGCAAATTATCTACCAGTGTAAAGTAGCTTAGGTCATTCTTCCGATCACTCCCCTGTGATAATGAAATTAGGCTCAACGCTCGTTGAAACAAACTTACCTGCATCATAAATTCACTAATTTCGTCAAGATTCAAGAATAAATAGCAGAGAATAAAACCCTCAGCAAATGTCAGATTCAAACCAACTGACATTGACGAAGATAGAATGCCTCGTCGTCGATACTTAGAATGCAGCATGGACCACCACATCTACAATTAAAACCTACAAAATTGCTCTTGCCCTGCGACTATGAAAGGCAAAAAAACAAAGAAAAGAAACAAATTCGAAATTCTTGGAAACAAAGTCGCAAGCCAGATGACAAACTAGCTTTCAACGTCGTAGCGCGTAACTAAAAAATATCTTAAAACAATATCGTAATACTAAGTTCTCAAACTATCTAAAATACTCTTCTCCGGAGTCAGTGTCCGAAAACTTACTGTGAGCAAGAAAGAAGAAGGTCCAGAAGGTCAATAGCTCACAAATTAAAAACAACGATGGTTCCTGGGCAAGAAGCAGCATTGAAAAAGCAAATCAATTTGCCGAATATTTTTCAACGGTCTTCTATCCTTTCTCCAGCGACGAAAAAATAAATGATATTCGACA